CTATGTAACCCATTTGAACACTACACTGCCATGGGCTACATCTGTGCAGGGGTTCTAGGTTATCTCCATGCATGCTACTTGGTTGGATTATGAGTCTCTGGGAAGACCCCTGTGTTCAAAATTTCTGATTTTGTTGCTCTCCTTGTGGGGTTACTGTCCTCTCCAGATCTTACTATTTCCCACTTCTTACATTAGATTCCCTGTACTTCACCCAACAGTTGGCCATAAGTCTCTGTGTCTGCTTTGATAGTCTGTAGGGCAGAGCCTTTCAGAGGCCCTCTGTGGCAGGTTCCTAGGTTGTTTCCTGGTTTCTTCTTCTTCTGATGTCTATCCTCTTTGCCTTTTGGGATGGGGATTGAGTGTTTTAGTCAGGGTCCTCTCTCTTGATTAGTTTCTTTAGATGTACAGGTTTTTAGGTTTATCCTATGTTGTATGTCTATATGAGTGAGTATATACCATGTGTGTCTTTCAGTTTCTGGGACAGCTCACTCAGGATGATCCTTTTCAGGTCCCACCATTTACCTGCAAATTTAATGATTTCCTTATTTTTCATTGCAGAGTAGTACTCTATTGTGTAGATGTACCACAATTTCTACATCCATTCTTCAGTTGAAGGGCATCTGGCTGTTTCCAACTTCTGGCTATTACAAATAAAGCTGCTACACACATGGTTGAACAAATGTCTTTATTGTGTACTTGAGCCACTTTTGGATATATGCCTAGCTGTGGTATGGCTGGATCTTGAGGAAGTGTTATTCCTAGTTGTCTGAGAAAGCGCCAAATTGATTTCCAAAGTGGTTGTACAAGTTTACATTCCCACCAGTAGTGGAGGAGGGTTCCCCTTTTTCCACAACCTCTCCAGCATATGTTGTCACTTGAGTTTTTCTTCTTGGCCATTCTGATGGGTGTAAGGTGAAATCTCAGGGTCGTTTTGATTTGCATTTCCCTGATGGCTAATGACACTGAGCATTTCTTTAAGTGTTTCTCTGCCATTCAATATTCCTCTACAGAGAGTTCTCTGTTTAGCTCTGTTCCCCATTTTTTAATTGAATTACTTGGTTTGCTGTTTTTCAGCTTCTTTAGTTTTTTATATATACTGGATATTAGCCCTCTGTCAGATAAAGGGTTGGTGAATATTCTTTCCCAATCTGTAGGTAGTCGTTTTATTTTGATGTACCTTCTACACCTGAGTTTCTCTCTTCCATTTCTTGTATTCTGTTGATGATGCTTATATCTGTAGTCCCTGGTCTCTTCCCTAGATTTTCTGTCTCCTTGCCTCAGATTGTGTTTCCTTTATTGCTTCTATTTCTGTATTCAAGTCTTGAAGAGTTTTATCCGATTCCTTCTCCCTGTATTTCTTTAAGTAATTTCTTCAATTCCTTCACCAGTTTAATTGTATTTTTCTATATTTCTTTGAGGGATTTATTTTCCTCTTTTAAGGTCTCTATCATTTCATAACATCATATTTAAGATCAATTTCTTGTGCTTTATGTGTTTTGGGGCATTCAGAGCTTGCTGAAGTAGGATAGCTGAATTCTGGTGGTGTTATATGGCCCTGTGTTTTGTTGCTTATGCTCTTACTCTGACATCTAGCCATTTGGTTGCCCTTGGTGTTTGCAAGCCTGCTGGTGCCTGATGATATTTGGCCTTTAGGATTTTAGGTAACCTGGTGGTCCTGCATGGTAACAGTTCTCTGGTTTTCCTGGGTGGTAACAGATCTCCAGGGATACAGGAAGAACTGGTAGTCTCTGATGGCTGCTGGTCTCTGGGATTGCAGGTGGAGATGAGGTCCAGGATAATGGGGGATGCCGGATGCTGTTGGTCCCTGATAGGTGCCAGTCTCTGCTAATCCCTAATGGTAGTTGCTGATTCCCAATGGTTGCCAGTCTTCAAGAATGCAGGTGGAGATGTGGCCTGGGAAATGGAGTACACCTAGAAGATGGTTGCTTGGAGTATGCTTGGGGAATTGGGTGCAGGTGGCCAGGACAGACCTCACTTATCCACATCCCAATCTAAAAATTTTTTAGATCTTAAATTGACCACATATCCAATCTCTCCTTTACATTTAATTTTTAATTGATTTGTTTATTTAATATCTTAATATCCAGATGGTAGGCCATCCCTCATCTCCTCCCATTCCCATTCTCCCCCCCACTTCCCCTTATTACCTTCTCCTCTACTCCTCAGATAAAGTGAACCTCCCTGCTACCAACTCAAACCAGCACATCAAGGCTTATCAGGACTTAATACATCTTCTTCCCTTGGGGCCTATAGAGGCAGGCCCACCAGGGAGAAGTGATCAAAAAGCAGGCAACACAGATCATGTCAGAGACAGCTCCTTTTCCCCTATATAGGGGACCCACATGTTGGCCAAGCTACTCATCATCTCCATCTCCATGTGTGTAAGGGGCCTAGGGCAAGTCCATGCATGGTTCTTGGTTGGTGCTCCATAAGCCCCCTCTGGGCCCAGATTGGTTGTCTCTGTTGGTCTTCTTGTGTAGCTCCTATCCTCTCTGGGTCTTTTTATTCTTTCCCCCATTCTTCTATAAGACTCCCTGTGCTCCACCCAATGTTTGGCTGTGAGTCTCAGCATCTGTTTTGGCCACTGTTGGGTGGAACCTCTCAGAAGATAGCTATGCTAGTGTTTTGTCTGCAAGCATAGCAGAGTATTGTTAATAGTATCAGGAATTGGCTCTTTCCCAAGGGGGTGGGTCTCAGGTTGGGCCAGGCATTGGTCTGGTTGGACATTTCACTCAGCCTCTGCTCTATCTTTATCCCTGCACATCTTGTAGGTGATTTTGTTTGTGTATGTGAGAGAGAGAGAGAGAGAGAGAGAGCACATTAATGTGGTGCCAGGCAACAAGGCTCAAGAGTTGATTCTCTCTCTCTCTCTCTCTCTTTCTCAGACAGGGTTTCTCTGTGTAGCCCTGACTGTCCTGGAACTCACTTTGTAGACCAGGGTGGCCTTAAACTCCCAAAGATCAACCTGCCTCTGCCTCTCAAGGGCTGTGATTTAAAATGTGTGGCACCATGCCCTGCTGGCTAGGGGTTGATTCTCTGTACCTACCTTCCAGGACCTGGGGGTGGAATCTATGTTGTTAAGATTGCATACAAGTATCTTTACTGAGGGAGGCATATAGTATCTCAGGAGCCTTCTTTTTTTCTTTCTTTTAATTTTTTCAATCATATCCTCATGTAGCTCAGGGTGGTCTCCATCTCTGTAGTTAAGGATATTCATGAACTTTTGATCCTCCTTGATACATCTCTTGAGTGCTGGGATTGTAGGCATTTCTTAACATGTCTACTTTTATTGAGTGCTCAGGATCAAAGTTAGGATGCGGCTTGCCAGGTACCAGTGAACAACCGAGTTACATGTCTCTCTCTAGATATATTTGTCTTTGAGAATGTGGGCTTTACCCTTTTTTGGTTTTGAAATCTTATACCTATTTTATTATCATTTGGGAATGTTAATAGACCTTAAATAAACAACTGAATTTTAAGTGGATGATGAACCAAATGAAGGTTATTTATATTCTCATGGTTTTGAAGGTAACAAAGTTTGCAAATAAAAATTTTAAAAAATTACTATAATTTTTTTTTTTTACTTTCTATTCTATTCATATCAATGCCAAGAAATATTTGGCTATTTTTGTGCTTTCCCTCTTTCTGGAAAAGGTGATACATTTTTGAAATTGACTTGTCCTCATAGTATCATGAGTAGAGAGACATAGACCTATGTCTACACTTCACAACCTCTGTAGAGACATCCAGGCCATTGTTCTAAGGGAAAGTTATTACAACTTTTGTTCTATATCATGCAGCATAGAAGTTAGAGTGCTGACAAGTATATAGCTCCCTACTAATGCAGAATTTAGCTGCCCATGTTTTCCTCTGGTTGTCTGTCATCTATCAAATTTCTAGAAATGAATCCCTGATACTCTTCAATGGAGAGACACTTAGCTGAACACACTTTTCTCTATGTTTGCATTCTGACATTTTCTTTCTAGGACAAGCTGATCCTTGGTTATATGTTCAAATTAAATGACCACAGTTTACTAGCACTCTTGGTCCCATGAAACTGTGTTGTCAGATGGTGGATTCTGTCACATCTTGCTATGGTGTGTGGATTTTTCTTTTGTGAAGTTATTGAACACATGAAGTAATGATTGAATTCTCAGCAAGGAAAGGTAGAACCACAGCTCGAGAACTCAGAACAGATGTTTTGTGTTGGTTCTCTCTCTCTAAAATGTCATCTTAATTCTACATTATTGAGTCTCTTTTTTGTTTTGTTTTGCTTTTGTTTTCATCTTATACCAATTATTCTTAGAAATAGTCATGTAGCAATCACAGAGAGAATCTGAAAGCTGTATCACCTATATGTAGATACTTGTAAAGAAGACGCATATTTTTACTGTTTACCAACTTCATTTGATGATATTGATTACCTGTTATTTTTCATTTGGGTGGCGTTTTGTTTGTTTGTTTGCTTGATTTTTTTTTGTTTTGTTTTTGACAAAGGCTCTCATGAATTGAAGGCTGGTTTCCAACTTTCTGTGTAGCCAAGGGTGGCTTTGAGCTTCTGATGCTCCTATCTCTATCACTCTGGTGTTAAGGAAACAGGCATGAGCTGCTATACTTAGTTCATGTATTTTAAAGTTTAAATATAGAGCTACATTCCCAGCCTAATGATACAGATTTTTGTTTTTATTTATTTACTTACTTGTTTATTTGTGTGTGTGTGTGCAGGTGTGCTGCATTTATGTTTTCATGTAGGTTCCAAGGACTGAACTCAGGTCATCAGGTTTTTGCAGCAAGTTCTCTTTGTGCTGTGTCATCTCGCTGGCCCCACCATAGGATTTATGGTGATGAGAGTGACCACTGTGTAAACATGTCTCTACTGGCTCTGGATGCTGTGTCTTCAGGGAAGCAGGGGTCACTAATCTGCAGATGGTCTCCTTCCACTCAGCTCCTGACAGTAAATGTTTCCCATGTCCACACAGATATGAATATGAAACAACGATTACACCTGCAAGCAACTTGTCCTCAAACAGCTTCCTGTGTATGGAAAACAGAACCCAGACCTTAAAGCCAACGCAAGACCCAGCAGGTTGACCAGTGCTTCTTATGCCTTTCTGGTTAGAGACTCAGCCACAGAATACTCCTTTATGAAGGACTTTGAATATGATACTAGCTTTAGTAGACATGTGAGACAAATGAGCAAAATTTCATTCCCTATTCAGGGAAGTGAGTTGTCTAATAACTTAGAATACTCTCCCTCCTGAGTTTCAATATACTTATTAAGATTGCTTTGTTTTTGAAAGTGGATATTTTAAAATTAAGCCAAAGTTATCCACTCCAGCTAGTGGATAACTCCACTCCATTATAGAGCTAGTTTCACAAGGACAAAATGGCTTAGCAAGATGGATTTAGACACACAATGTGATCTCTGTGATTGGTGAGGCTTAATTTTCCGTTGCTGTAACAAAGCACTGACCTCAGAAACATTTACAGAAAATTTTGAATTAACTTTCAGTAACACTGACTATCAAATTCTCATGTGGTTTTCTCCATTTTTTTAATGCAGAGTGTGTGAAAAAAATTAAATCATTTATGTGGATATATGTAATGGTAGGAAATATTATACGTGGAATTGGTGAAACTCCCATCATGCCCCTGGGTATTTCCTACATAGAAGATTTTGCCAAATCAGAAAACTCCCCTTTATACATTGGTAAGTTTGAAAATCAGCCTTAGGAAGGTAGAAAGTAATTGTTAATTTTAATGCTTTGTGGTCTTCAGAAGAGTAAGCAGAGTGCTTCAGCACCATTGGTCAGAAGATTGTTCAGTGGGGGAGTTAACCAGTAGCTCCAGATAAGCCCCTTAATCAAACAGCATCTCACTGTTGAAGAGCCCCCTGATCTTTGGACCAACAGTCACACTGTCTCTAAACCATTAAGAGATTCGCCAACATTTTCTGGAAAATGTTCCTTAGATTCAATTGTTTTTTGTTTTGTTTTGTTTTGTTTCTCTCTATTTTTGTAGCTTTTGGCTTCTCATTTTTTTATTTACAAGTTATTGAAATTTCATTATCGGCCATTCTGTGTCTATATTATTTTAAAATACGGTTTTTCTTTTTAACTCTGTGTGTGTGTACATGTGTGTACTTGCATGTCAATGTGGTGGTCAGAAGACACGAAGACAGCTTTTGGGAGTTGACTTGGGGATTGAACTGTGGTCCATAGGCCATGCTTGGAGAACAAGTTTTGTCTTTATCTGCTGAGCAATCTGGCGGGCCTTGTAGTGTTGTCACTAGTCAAGTACTCATAAACATGGCAGCATAAGCCTTAACAAACACTGTTTTAGTGAAGTCTGCTATCATGCTCATTATGCCAACTGATTTCTTATTTACCAATGCTCTCTTTTACTACTCGAGGCTCTGCACCCTACTTCTCTGTGAAGTTAATGGTACAGTTTTCTTCCTTAAAACCCTATAGATAAGACAAGTTTCTTCATCATTTTAACAAATATCTGGATTCATTCTTTCAGTGTATTCCTTTAAATCATCATTATTTAAAAAAAAAAATCTATGCATCACCCAGGCAACTGTAAATTATGTCCACCATCTTATGCTTCTCCTAAATGATCTGAATTTATTATGAGTAATTTTCTCATGTTCTTGAGTAAATCCATCTGTAGTTGATTATTATAAACCCATAATTTTGTATATGCAGTGGTTCTCAACCTGTGGTTGTCCACCCCTTAGGAGTAGAGTGACCATTTCACTGGGGTCACCTAAGGCCATAGTAAAATACAAATATTTACATTATGATTCATAATTGTAGAAAAATCATAGTTATTAAGTAACAACAAAAGAATTTTATGGAGGAACTGTATGTATTAAAGGACCACAGCATAAGAAGGGTTGAGAAGCACTGGTATATAGACATATTTTTTAATTAAATAAAATCAAACAAACAGAAAAAACACAATGAAGCTAAGAGAAAACAGGAAGAAGCTTAGTATTAATGAAGATGAAATATATTTAAAAAACATAACTTTTATCCATTTATGGAGAGTTATTAATTATTATTAATTCAATAATCATCTTTTCAGGTCTTAATCTAGTCATTCTCTTTAGATACCTTCACAGATATCTAAGGAAAAAATACAAGTGTTTTCTCAAGATAAGATATTAGAATATGGATCTCTTTATCAGAAATCTAGTGAAAAAATTATATATATAATCTATATATACATATATAAATAATAATTATATTAAAGTGAAGATGATACCTGATTCATATATCTTATGCTTAGCACATAAACAGCACAGTTTCCTATATGAATACCTACATAATTATATAAATATTATGTATTATATAAATATATAAATATTATGCATGTAATCAAATGATTATAAAGCAAGAAATTGAGACTATTTAATATATGGCTCTTTAGCTGAAGAGATAGAGAAACGAAATATAAAAACTGACAGTTACCTATGTTAGACAATAATTTAAATACAGAAGAAATAAGGTTGACCTGGGAAGACATATAAATACTGAGAATCCATAGAGTCACACACCAGGAGATTCTTCTACTTAGTCGGTAGATTAAGAAGAGGAAAATCAAATAAGGAGTATCCATGGGAACAAAGTTAACTGCAAAGATATACTGTAGGGAAGGTGTTAGGAGGAAGCAGACGAAAGAGGAATTGGACAACAGTGTTAAGTAAGTTAAGAGAATAAAGATAAATAGTGCAAAAAGTGGTCTTTGGTGGAGGTCACTGGAGGTACCAAGACAGCATCTTAGAATCAGAAAGCATCTGAGCAGAATGAGAGCAAGAAATCAAGGCAGACAGTGTAGGGCAGGGTTGAAGTCAGTGGAGGCTGGAGATCTTGTAGGTATCATTGCACAGAGGACATCAAACAACAGAAAAAGACCATGGAAGATAGAATGTTTTGGTACTAAGGAGTCAGGCACACAGAAGAGAACTAACCAATAGATCCACAGACAAAGAAGGAAATACAAAATCTAAATTGAAGTTGTTCATATCTGGGTTTCTGGTGATAGGGATGGCTCAGGAGATTCGGAACTGCAAATAAGTTGGGAGAGACTGAAAGTAGTTTCAAAGAAGCCAGGTGTGGTTGGAAGGGACCAATAAAAGAAAATAAGTATAATGAGAAGACCAGGAAAATATCAAAAAGAAGTGCTGTAATGAGGACAAATGCTTTCCATGGAAGGAAGTTTGAGTGGAGTGGAGTTTGAGTGGAGCTCAGATGAGGATGCACTACAACACATTTATTTTAACACACTCATTTAGAAACTGTGCTAGTGTCCTTTCTGTTGCTGTGAAAAAAAATGCAACTTTAGAGAGGAAAGTGGTTCATTTGGCTTACAATTCCATCACAACAAAGAAGTCACATTAGCAGGAGTTCAAAGTAGCTGGTCACACCCACAAGAGCAGAGAGAATGCATAGGTCCATGCTATGTCTTTGCTTTCATGGTTGTGCTCAGCTGTTTCTCCACTCTTATGAAGTTCAGGACTCCCTCACTAGAGAATGGTGCTGCCCACAGTGGGTTTGGTCTTCTCACTTCAATTAACTTAATTAAGGCAATCTCCTACTGACATGTCCACATATAAACCCAATGTAGACAGTACTTCATTAAGACTCTACTCCCAGGAAATTCTAGGTTGTGTCAAGTTAACAATGAAAGCTAAGCATCACAGAGACACTCTGAAACATGGCTATGGATGCATCAAAGAATTTTGTTCACATCATGGCTTTGATGGATTTGCCTGTATTAGTATAGTTTTGCCTTTAACTCAGCATAAAAGAGAATATGGAAGGTGGCATTAAGTAATGATGTTTCTGTGTCAGTAAACTTTCTTTCTTTCTTTTATAAATACCTGAGATAATAGCTTATAAAGAGAAAGTATTCTTTTGGCTCATATATTTGGAGATTTTAGTCTATGTCCCTGAACTGTTTGGTTTGGAGGTCTGTCATGAGAGAGATCCTTATGGTGGAAGGATGAGTGTAGTAAAACCACCCATCTTGTGACTGGGAAGCAAAACAGAATGGGGAAAAGGCTATGGTTCTATCCTACATGGCCTGAAGATGCACCACCATGCCCTCCATGGGAAGGGTTCTGTCAGACTCCAGTGGTGTCCTTCTGGGAAAAACTTCTATAACAGGTGATCTTCTGGGGACATTCAATATTGAAACAATAGTAGGAGCTTCTTTCTCAATATTTATAGAAACCAGTACACATACATGTAATATACATATGTACATGTAACATATATATGTAGATGTAATATAAAATCCAAGCTTAATTTCTTTATATGTTGAATATGTAAAAATATCTGAGGTAGCATAGTGTGTATCTCAATAGTAGAGCTCTGCGTTTGATACCAAGCTCCACAAAAGAAGAAAAAAAATATAAGATTATAAACAAATCAATCAGAAGGCTTGTGTCTATGTGAGTGTGTAAGAAAAATCATGTGTGATTATGTAAATTTCTATCTTTTTTTACTTTCAGGGATTATAGAAACGGGAAAGATGTTTGGTCCAGTAACTGGACTTCTGATGGGATCTTTCTTTGCAAGGATTTATGTAGATATTGGGTCTGTGGATACAGGTAACAAAAATGTGTTTTATTATGCAGTCCCGTACCTAGAGTGTGGGAGAATGCTATATCATTGCTCCTTTGATCATCCATTAGCTAAGCACCACTTACAGATGGCAAACCTCAGGGAAGCAGAGGAAAAGATAAAATGCAATGGTCTGATTCCAAATCTACCATTCTCCAACCACATTTCGGCCACACCCTTTTAAACTTTTACTTACACAGGTTGTTTCTGATGAGGCTATCACTGTGTGCAGCCAAACAGATATTTCAGTTATGTCCTGAACACCAATTTATAAAGTTATCAAATGACAGGCAGAAAAGCTCATTTACTTTTATAAAATATATCATTGCATACTGCTATATAAAAATATTTTTCTTAATTTTTATTAGTTATTTATTTTATATTCTGATGGCAGCTGCCCCTGTCTCCTCTCTTTCTAGACAATCTCTCTTACCTCCCTCTCCAGCACCCCTCTTTTCCTTCTCCTCAAAAGGGGGAAGGCTTCCCATGGATATCAACCAGCCTTGGAATATCAACTTGCAGTAAGACTGTTGAGGCTAGAAAAGGCAGCCTAGTTGGGGGAAAAGAATCCAAAGGTAGGCAACAGAGTCAGTGACAGCCCCTGCTCCTGCTTTAGGAGTCCCACATGAATACTGCACTGCACAAATGTTACATATGTGCAGAGGGCCTAGGTCTGTCCCACCCATGCTCTCTGGTGGACACTTAAGACTCTATGAGCCCCTATGGTCCCAGATTAGCTGATGCTGTAGATTTTCTTGTTTCCTTTGACCCCTATAGATACTTCAATTCCTCTTTCCTTCTTCCACAGGATTCTCAAAATTCTACTTAATGTTTGGCTGTGGGTCTCTGCATTTGTTTTCATCTGTTGCTGAGTGAAGCCTCTCTGAAGACAGTTATGCTAGGCTCCTGTCTCCAAGTATAGCAAAATATCATTAACAGTACCAGGGATGTATTCCCTCTCATAGCATGATTCTCAAGCTGGGCCAGACACTAGTTGGCCCTTCTCGCAAATTCTGCTCCATCTTTAACCCCTGCACATCTTGTGTGCAGGTCAAGTTGTGGATGTCAGGTTTTGTGGCCGTGTTGTTTTCCAAATCCCTCCATTGGAAGTAATTCCTGTTTACAGGAGATGGTTACTGTTGAAACTCCATATTACCCATTGCTAGGAGTCTTAGCTAGGGTCACCCTCACAGATTCCTGGGAATTTTCATTGTCCTAGGTTTCTAGCTCATCCCAGAGATAGCTGCCCCCTGCCCCAATCCAGTTGTCGCTCCCTCCATCCTGCCCCCACTGAACTGTCTCACCTGTCCTCTTCTTGCCAACTCTGATGTTTTGAGACATGAATACATAAGACTAAAGATAGTTCCTTAAATATGTCTCCAATCTTGTTTCTGTCTTGGCAAAATGTAGTTTTAACTATTTCTCCATTTAGCACTCCAGAAACATTTCTTCTTAGTTAATTTGAACTTCAGCAAATTGAGCAATCTCAGACAATTTTTCTAAAGGAATATACGAGCCCAGTGGTATGGTAGATGTTTATAATCCCAGAATGTGGGGAAAAGACACATAAGATCACAAGTTTAAGACACAAAAAAAGAACAAAGCTGTGAATAGTGAATACATGATATGCAAATTTTATGTTTAGATGAATTTATGGACCTCAATATTTTTCTACAGTTTACACAAGAAAGAATGGTGCAAGCTAATACAATATCTGTATTTCTTTCCAGATGACCTGACCATCACTCCTACTGATACACGCTGGGTCGGTGCTTGGTGGATTGGTTTTCTGATCTGTGGAGGAGTGAATATCCTGATCAGCATCCCGTTTTTCTTTTTTCCAAAAACACTTCCAAAGGAAGGCCTAGAGGATAATGTGGATGAGACTAAAAAGAACAAAGTTGAGAAATACAGAGAAAAATCCACAGAGGAAAAACATGAAATCACAAAAGGCAAACAGAAAAATTTTAAACTCTATTTGTTCAGATGGGTTTGCATTCAGTGGGCACTTGTCAGATTGTCCTGTGTTAAGATAGTTTGTCACTAATCTTCCCTACTCAGACATAATAAATTTCTTCACCACTCGAAATAGCTGACATGGTAGGAAACCTGACTTACTTTAGATTAGAATTTATAAAAAAATTCAAGTCAATATGAACACTAAATGAGCAAATATATTTTTCCATTGGTTTTGAAAATCTTATTTTATAGACAATATTAGCCCAAGTTAAAAAGTACAAATAACCAGAAACCCAAGATAAAGATAAAAAACTTTTTGATAAGAGAAAATATTAGTTTAACTGTGCGCATTCTTGAAGTCAAGGTCAACGGAGAAAACATGATTGGTGACATAATCTTCCATATCTGAAGGAATGTGATAGTTTACAGGCAAACTCCTCTCTTAGAACAAACTGCTTTGAAACAAGCAGGAATGTCATTAACCTATGATAGAGAGTAGTGATGGGGAGAAACTAAGGTGGGTCAGCTGAGCGTTCTGGCACAGACTGGTAAACACTTTATGGATGACATTGCTATTTCTTCCATCACTCATAGCCCCCAACACCTATGTGCAGTAAATAGTCACATGAGTTCCTTGAACACTACAGACCATGCTGAGGAGCCAATCATACTGAGAGCCAGTGCAGGGGCTTGAACATTCTTAAAATCATGGTCATGTTAGCGATTGTCCTGAAGGAGCCAATTCTGACCTCTCTGTGCAGCTTTGTGGTCTGCCAGGTCAACCTAATTTCAAAACTAGAAAGGAGCTGAGAGGAGAGTAAGACATATAGGAAATAATTGAGCTGTGGAGACACTCTTAGGAGGACAAGGCAAACACGAATGAGTTCAAAAGCTTCTGGGAATTCCAGCTACAAACAACTCACTCACAAAGATGGCTTTTACCATGAGAGTCTATTTTTTTCTCATTAAAATGCTCTGCCTCTACTTCTAAATGGTTTCTTCTTGATACTTTTCTTTCCATGAAACTTTAGGCAACTTATAAGGAAAATTTTTAAATTTATATATTAAAATTATATTATAACTATGTTTTAACTATAAAATTATGTTATATTATGACTATTTGTAAAATTAGAAAATCAAGACAAAACATGAAGACATAAAAAGAAAGAAAAAAATCTCTTACGTGTGAATTTCAGCCAAATTATCTTCAGTGAGATCCAGTCCATTCACTAGAAACTGGCTCCAAACTTGACTTTCAGCTTCTTAAACAGGGAAAGCTTTGGGTAAGTCATTTGGAAGGTGCTTGGTATACGCCAACTGAGTCAGCACTCCTTACAGTGAGACCATCATGTTGAGCTGTTTAAACACATCAGTAGGTGCTTCTAAGGCATGTCCTGCTATAAAGTGATGCCGAGATGATGAGGTTGTCTGGGCTGCAGCATGATTCCGGGAGCCTTCCTAAAATCTTAGCTTATCCATTCTTGCTTAAAGGAGTGACAGCATCGGAGTCTGAACTAAAATGTCATCAAAGTACATCCCTCACAGAGCTCAGATAACAGACTAGTCACGTCTAGTGAGTGCAGGATACTTATATCGAGGAAGGAGAGGAAAAGAAATGAGAGAATGTGGCCACAGACTTAAATCCATCTTCCTTGCTGGCACAAATGGTTTCTGGTTCTTATATAGCCAGTCGAGTCACTAACTTTCAGAGGTGACTTAAACTATGATATAAAACTTTATCCTAAAGGGCTGAAATTTTAACAAACATTTTTGTGTTACAGCAAAGAATCTGTGATAAGAATTTAGGAGAACATTGAACACAAAAATGCAAGGCCAAGGTTTCCTGATAGTCTCTACATTCTCTTGTTTCAGATTTTCTGCCATTCATCAAGAGCCTATTCTGCAATAAGATTTACATGCTTTTCATTCTGACAAGTGTGCTCCAGGCTAATGCATTTACCAATATGTTTATCTTCTTGCCTAAATATCTGGAACAGCACTATGGAAAATCAACTGCAGACGCAGTCTTTCTCCTAGGTACGTACTTCCGTTATTTACCTATTAGCACTTCCCCCTCTGACAATGGCATGATTAAGCTATCCCTAAGAACAAGATGAACAATAAGAGAATGTGACAAGGAGACTACAATTAGTATATCTTACAAGAATTTCCTAAGATATTTCTTCATTCCAGTCTCCAGAAAAAAAAAAAATCAAGAAATGATAAGGAATGGAAATCATCATAGTGGAAATCTTGGGGGAAGTTTATATCAGTCAATTTTCAGACAGGCAATATTTTAATTCACAGAGGAATACAGAGTTACTCACTGGGATTCTGTATATTACTCTCAGGCTACTTCTGCACTTCAATTTTTACTCTCCTAATTTAGTTGCTTTGTCCCCTGGTCTGAGAAGCCTGTGCAGCCACACTCTGCTTTTCTTGTCAGTACTCTAACCTCATGGATCAAGGGAACTTTGGAATTTTCCTGGGTTCATTTTACTTTTGAAACTTCAGGATTACATAATGCCAACATTCCTTTCGTGTAGAAATTTCTTAAAGTCCAAATCCAAGTCCTCACCCTCAGGTGTATAAAACTAAATGCCAATGTATGGAGCTGCAGAGGATGGTTACATTCTTCCAAGCCTGGTGCTGGCATGGTGTGAATGCAGCACAGCCAGGATTTTCTCTTTCCTTTTCTTTTTCAACTTTGATTTTGGCTGGTAAAGAGAGTCAGGGAGGAAGAGTGCTGTGGAGCTTCCACAATGGACAAAATGTTCTACACTTGATAAGCACAGACTCAGCAACAACCTTCAAAATCAGCTCAATATGACCCTGGAGAAGAGAAAGGGAGAGTGGGATTGGAGGGGATGAGGGAGGGAGCTACAGTTGGGATACAAACTGAATAAATTGTAATGATAAAAAAAATCAGCTCTAGCTGAGTCAAATTCCCAGATAACATATTGGAAAGAAATACAAGAAATAGTTAATATCATATATGTTTGTTTGTATAATGTATGTTCGTTTGTATAAGGTGTTTACATTCTGCTTCAAATATTAAATAAATATTAATTTATTAATATTAAATTAAAATGTTAATTGTGTCTTTATAGTGACACTATGGCATTTGAAAACATTTTATATAATATGTGAGGGAGTAGGGGTTAGAATCACTATATATTATACGATAGATTTTTAAGATGTATTTTACAAATTTATAACATTTACTTTTTGCTACCTTTTATAAATACAATTTTGCTTGCATTCATAGGTTTTTATTCCCTTCCTCCAATATGTGTTGGCTATTTAGTTGGTGGCTTTATTATGAAGAAGTTCAAGGTTACTGTCAAGAAAGCTGCATACATAGCATTCTGCCTATCTTTGATTGATTACCTTCTAACTTTTTGTAACTTTCTGATGACCTGTGATAATTTTCCAGTCACTGGCTTGACTACCTCTTATGAAGGGTATGTTGTTTCCTAATGAAGATCAAAATATTTTCACAATTGCTAGTCTGTTTTCTCCAAGAGTTATATACTACCAGGTCATTTTATAATGACTTAATGGCAGCGATCCATTCTTCTACTTATCAATTCTATACCAGCTCATACAAGTTGTAAGCTTATTAAAGTGTTCTGAAGACAACCAATGAGTAAGTTTATGATTTCACAAGCATACTGGTGGTTTCATGGTGACATACTAGTCTGCTTTAAAGTGAAATAAAGGAAACAGCCTAGTGCTTTGTAGCCTAAATTATCTATGTATTTTATACTCCCATAAATAGATAGTATTAAAAGTTGAGTGTATAGGCCAGCAGGTCTCCACAGTACTCCACAATGGGCTCAAGTTTGACATAATTGAACCTAATATATGATAAGTCAATTAATATATATATTTATATATGTCATTGGCAAAGTTATATCTCATGTTCTCTGTAGTGTTAGATTTTACATTTTAAGGGTTGCCTGGTCATATTCTATATTAGCATTGGAAATTTAAAACTTAATTTAGGACATAGTTATAAGATCAATCAATTAAAATGAAATAAAGCATATATTTGTAGGTTCCTTTCAAAGGGCTTAGGAGAGAACTCAGTGGTAAACTGCTTGCTGAGCAGGCAGGAGGTCCTGAGTTCAGATCCCAGAACCCATGGAAAGCTTGACATGGTAGGGTAACTCTCATCCCAGTGCTCCTACTATGAGCTGAGTAGCACAGCCAGGAAACTCTGAAAGTTCAGGGCCTGCTAGTCTGGCAATTGTTACAGTGAACAACAGAGGACTCTGTCTCCAACAAGGTAAAAGGCTATATTCTGACCTCCACATTTGTACTGTTGTACAAGTGTGCTTACACAAACATACACACACACAACACACACACACAACACACACACACAACACACACACAAACACAAGGGACAGAGAGAGGAAAAGTGAAAGACAAAGACAGAGATTAAAAGTAGAATTTCAAAATTCTTAAAAATTGTAATATTTAAGTGATTTCAAATATAAAATAAGTAATTATTTATATAATTATATAACATAAAGTACATAGATATAATCTGATTTGAATGTATTTTTAAGATAGAAATTTTCCACTCACATTGGAGATATACATATTGAAAATCAGGGGGAATTAGTGAGTTTACAGTAAGTGGCTTCAACAACAGTGAGGTAGAATTGTACACATTGAGTCTATCTCCAGTCACGTTAACTGTGCACTGTGTTTGAGAGATAGGATTTGAATTCAGCCTCTAACTCAACATTTTCCTCTTTGAATCCCATTGTAAGCGCTGTGCACTATCCATATCTCAGAAGAGAATGGCTGCTTAGTCAAACCAATCTGTTTGTGGACTGAGTGCAGAGTCTATCTTATAAATAGAAAGGACAGCTTTTGTTCAAGCCATCCCTCTCATTATTTCCCATCGTGCAGATCAATGAGAGATAAGTTGTCTTCAGATTAGCTCTAACAGCACAGTATTTTCCTACAGGGTAGGCTGAGTGTGCAAAAGCAGTATAGAGACAAAACGTTGATGTTTGGATAATTTTGTTTCTGTTCCCGAGGGAGACATAATCTCTCTCTCTCTCTCTCTCTCTCTCTCTCTCTCTCTGCGTGTATGTGTGTGTGTGTGTGTGTGCATGTGTGTGTGCACATGCTGAGATGAAGAGAAGAAAATAAAGTGCTCAGATGGGTTTAATATCTGTAACATTATTTTTAAATCATTTCAGAGTTCAGCAGCCTCTTGATGTGGAGAATCCTGTCCTCGCTGACTGTAACACAAGGTGTAGCTGCTTAACAAAAACATGGGATCCAGTGTGTGGAGACAATGGCCTAGTATATATGTCAGCCTGCCTTGCAGGCTGTGAAAAGTCTGTTGGAACGGGAATCAACATGGTAAACATCCTTCAGGGCTGATGTGTGTGTACTGTGTTAACATGTGCAATGGCCTAAGCCTACAGCTGCTGAAAAAGCAAAAAGAGTCATGCTTTAAAATAGATTAATATTTGTGAACAACTCAGTTTAGTCTGTGTACGCATCTTTGATGTTACAATCCCTACAAATTATTTAAAGCCTTGACAGAGTCTGAGGTCATTATTCAAGTCATCTGAGTGCTATATATCTGGACAGGATGGAGACAGAGCTCAGCTGTGAAGAGCACCTGCTGCACCCACATGGGGATGCTCACAAGTCCAGCTGCAGGACACCTGACACTCTCCTCTGCCTTCCCCAGACACCCATATACACATACAACAGCATTAAAGTTAAAACAGTAAATTACTCAGGAGGGAATCTGCTCTTTATTGTGATAGGGTCTCATGAAGCCCTGGAATATCTCAATCTTGCTATAGCTGAGGTGGAGAAAAAATTATCTTTTCATATAACAAGCTTTAACTAACTAATTAATTAATTAATTAATTAATTAGACTCTCAGGTGCCATGTACTTGGTGCTTCTGAGACAGGATCCTACTGGCCTGGAATTTTTTTTTTTCTCCAAGAACTTTTAATTTTTTTAAATATAAAAGTAGGTAAGAACTGAAATTTTGTAAATTACAGGTTAAACAATAATATTAACATCTAAAATTATTTACCAAATGCTGTTGTTTTAACTTGCAGAGTACAAAATGAAAGAGGTCCAAGAGGAAGGAAGAAAAAAATTTTCCTTTGGCATTACAAATATTATAGTATTATGTATAAAATTTGATAAAATTGTGGTCTCTAAAACATGGAACTAGATAAGTGATTTCTTTTTTTTTTTTTATAAAAAAAGAAATTTATTTTGGCTCACAATTTTGGCCTAAGAACAAAAGGCCCTTTGAGGTAATATGCTTCTGCAGTACAGAATCTTGAAGGGGTCATAAAATATTCCAAGAAAAGAGGCAAAAGACCTGAAAGTATGTGTGTTTTATGGGCTCTTTTCACCTTCTAAAGCTATCAACATTCTACCATGGTTATGCCTTTTCAACAGCTTTACCTAATCTTTTTTTTTATATTTTATTTTTTATTTTTTTTAATTTTTTATTAATTACACTTTATTCATTTTGTATCCCCCCATAAGCCCCTCCCTTTTCCCCTCCCGATCCCACCCTCCCTCCCCATTCTGCATGCATGCCACTCCCCAAGTTCACTGATAGGGGAGGTTCTCCTCTTCTTTCTGATCTTAGTCTATCAGTTCTCATCAAAAGTGGCTGCATTGTCCTCTACTGTGGCCTGATAAGGCTGCTCCCCCCTCAGGGGGAAGTGATCAAAGAACAGGCCAATCAGATTATGTCAGAGGCAGTCCCTCTTCCCATTACTATGTAACCCACTTGGACACTGAACTGCCATGGGCTACACCTGTGCAGGGGTTCCAGGTCATCTCCACGAATAGTCCTTGGTTGGAGTATGAGTCTCTGGGAAGTTCCCTGTGTTCAAATTATCTTGTTCTGTTGCTCTCCTTGTGGAGTTCCCGTCCCCTCCAGCTCTTACTATTTCCCACTTCTTACATAGAATTCCATTCACTCTGCCCATCAGTTGGCCATCAGGCTCAGCATCTGCTTTGACAGTCTATACTGCAGAAGGTTTCAGAGGCCCTCTGTGGCAGATTTCAAGGTTGTTTCCTGTTTTCTTCTGGCTTTCAGAGGCCCTCTGTAGCAGGTTCCGAGGTTGTTTCCTATTTTCTTTTTCTTCTGATGTCCATCCTCTTTGCCTTTCAGGATGGGGATTTAACATTTTAGTTAGGGTCCTATCTTTTGCTTAGTTTGTTTAGATGTACAGATTTTAGTGGGTTTATTCTATGTTGTATGTTTATATGAGTGAGTATATACCATGCGTGTCTTTTTGCTTCTGGGACAACTCACTCAGGATGATCCTTTCCAGGTCCCACAATTTACCTTCATGATTTCCTTATTTTTCATTGCTGAGTAATACTCCATTGTATAGATGTACCACAGTTTCTGCATCCATTCTTCAGTGGAGGGGCATCTGGTTTTTTTCCAGCTTCTGGCTATTACAAATAAAGCTGCTACAAACATGGTTGAGCAAATGTCCTTTTTGTGTACTTGCGCCTCTTTTGGGTATATGCCTAGGAGTGGTATAGCTGGATCTTGAGGAAACACTATTCCTAGTTGTCTGAGAAAGCGCCAGATTGATTTCCAGAGTGGTTGTACCAGTTTACATTCCCACCAGCAATGGAGAAGGGTTCCCCTTTCTCCACAACCTCTCCAGCATGTGTTGTCACTTGAGTTTTTCATCTTGGCCATTCTGATGGGTGTAAGGTGAAATCTCAAGGTTGTTTTGATTTGCATTTCCCTAATGGCTAATGAGGTTGAGCATTTCTTTAAGTGTTTCTCTGCCATTCGATATTCCTCTACAGAGAATTCTCTGTTTAGCTCTGTTCCCCATTTTTTAAGTGGATTACTTGGTTTATTGCTTTTCAGCTTCTTTAGTTCTTTATATATATTGGATATGAGTCCTCTGTCAGATAAAGGGTTGGTGATGATTCTTTCCCAATCTGTAGGCAGTCGCTTTGTTTTGATGACGGTGTCCTTTGCTTTACAGAAGCTTTTCAGTTTCATGAGGTCCCATTTATTGATTGTTGCTCTTAGAGCCTGTGCTGTTGGTGTTCTGTTCAGGAAGTTGTCTCCTGTACCAATGAGTTCTAGGGTATTCCCCACTTTTTTTCTAGCCGATTTAATGTGTCTGGTTTTATGTTGAGGTCTTTGATCCACTTGGACTTCAGTTTTGTGCAGGATGATAAGTATGGATCTATTTTCATTTTTCTACACGTAGACATCCAGTTGGACCAGCACCATTTGTTGAAAATGCTATCTTTTTTCCATGGTATGGTTTTGGCTTCTTTGTAAAAAATCAGGTGTCCGTAAGTGTGTGGGTTTATTTCTGGGTCTTCTGTTCGGTTCCATTGATCCACCATTCTGTTTCTATGCCAGTATCATGCAGTTTTTATAACTGTTGCTCTATAGTACAGCTTGAGATCAGGGATGGAGATACCTCCAGAAGATATTTTATTGTAGAGGATTGTTTTAGCAATTCTCGGTTTCTTGTTATTCCATACGAAGTTAAGAATTTTTCTTTCCAGGTCTGTAAAGAATCGTGTTGGCAATTTGATGAGAATTGCATTAAATCTGTAGATTGCTTTTGGTAAGATGGCCATTTTTACTATGTTAATCCTGCCAAGCCATGAGCATGGGAGATCTTTCCATCTTCTCATATCTTCCTCTAATTCTTTCTTCAGAGACTTGAAATTTTTTTCATACAAGTCTTTGACTTGCTTGCTTAGGGTTACACCAAGGTACTTTATGTCATTTGTGGCTATTGTGAATGGTGTTGTTTCTCTAATTTCTTTCTCAGCCCTTTTGTCTTTTGTGTACAGGAGTGCTACTGATTTTTTTGAATTAATTTTGTATCCGGCCACTTTGCTGAAGGTGTTTATCAGCTGTAGGAGTTCCCTGGAAGAGTTTTTGGGGTCACTCATATATACTATCATATACAGACACTGAGGAAATCCAAACAATCATTAGGACTTACTTCAAAAGTCTATACTCAACAAAATTTGAAAACCTAAATGAAATGGACAATTTTCTTGATCGATTTGACTTACCAAAGCTGAATCAGGACCAGGTAAATCAATTAAATAGTCCTATATCCCCCAAAGAAATAGAAGCAGTCATCAAAAGTCTCCCATCCAAAAAAAGCCCAGGACCAGATGGTTTCAGCGCAGAATTCTACCAGACCTTCAAAGAAGAGCTAACTCCAATTCTCTTCAAACTATTCCACAAAATAGAAACAGAAGGAACATTACCAAACTCATTCTATGAAGCCACAATCACCTTGGTAACTAAACCTCACAAAGACTCAACAAAGAAAGAGAATTTCAGGCCAATCTCCCTTATGAACATTGATGCAAAAATACTTAACAAAATACTTGCAAACCGAATCCAAGAACACATCAAAGATATTATCCACTATGACCAAGTAGGCTTCATCCCAGGTATGCAGGGGTGGTTCAATATACGGAAATCCATCAATGTGATCCACCATATTAACAAACTGAAAGGAAAAAAACCACATGATAATCTCCCTAGATGCTGAAAAAGCATTTTACAAAATCCAACATCCATTCATGTTTAAAGTATTGGAGAGATCAGGGATACAAGGCACATATCTAAACATAGTAAAGGTGATTTACAGCAAGCCTATAGCCAACATCAAACTGAACGGAGAGAAATTTAAAGCAATCCCACTGAAATCAGGGACAAGACAAGGCTGCCCACTCTCTCCATATCTCTTCAACATAGTTCTGGATGTCCTTGCTAGAGCAATAAGACAGTTGAAGGAGATCAAGGGGATACAGATGGGAAAGGAAGAAGTCAAATTATCACTATTTACCTAATCTTAATAATCTGCAAAGGCCCAGATCCAAACATTGTAGTCATATTAAGTTTCTACTCTTTTTTAACTTTTATTAATTACACTTTATTCACTTTGTATCCCCCCATAAACCCCTTCTGCTTTCCCTCCTAATCCCACCCTCCCTCCCCCTTCTTCACACATACCCCTCCCCAAGTTCACTGATAGGGGAGGTCCCCTCTCCTTTCTTCTGATCATAGTCTATCAGGTCTCATCAGGAGTGACTGCATTGTCAGCTTCTGTGGCCTGGTAAGGCTGTTCGTCCCTCAGTAGTGGCCTGGAATTTGCTGGTCCTCTTAGGCTTCCTGGCAAGTGGGCCCCAGGGAGTCACCCATATCCACCACACAGCAACAGTGTGGCAAGCACATGTTCTATGCATGCACTGTTCATGTGTCTGCTGGGGATGAGAACTCAGGTCCTCATGCTTGTGCAGAACTTAGTGACTGTTCCATCTCCCCAGCCCTCATCAGGACACTTTAGCAAGATGTCAAGAATCAAGCACTTTCCCTTCCCTTAAACATGTCATAATACATATAGTTGGTTGACAATCAAAATGAAATATGAATTTTAATTATTTGTAAAATTTATTTATCTCCTTCATCTCCTCCCATGCTCCTCCCCAAGTCCACTAATAGGGGAGGTCCTCCTCCCCTTCCCTCTAATTCTAGCTCATCAGGTCTCATCAGGACTGCCTGTATTGTCTTCTTCTGTGGCCTGGTAAGGCTGCTCCTTGCTCAGGGGGAGGTGATCAAAGAGCCAGCCACTGAGTTCATGTCAGAGACAGTTCCTGTTTGCATTACTAGGAAACCCAGTTGGAGACTGAGATGCCATGGGCTACATCTAAGCAGGGGTTCTATGCTATCTCCATGCATCGTCCTTGGTTGGAGTATCAGTCTCAGAAAGACCCCTGTGCCCAGATTTTTTTGGTTCTGTTGTTCTCCTTGTAGAGCTCCTGTCCCCTCCAGGTCTATTTCCCCCTTCTTTCATAAGATTCCCTGCACTTTGCCCAAAGTTTTACTAGATATATCAGTATCTGCTTTGATACCCTGCTGGGTAGAGTCTTTCAGAGTCCCTTTGTGATAGGCTTCTGTCTTGTTCTCTGTTTTCTCCCTCTTCCCATGTCCCTCCTATTTGCCTTTCTGAATGAGAATTGATCAGCTTACCCAGGGTCCTACTTCGTGCTTCGCTTCTTTAGGTGTACAGATTTTAGTAGGTATGTTTAGCCTATATTATATGTCTAATACCAACTTACAAGTAAGTGTATATCATGTGTATCTTTCTTTTTCTGGGATACCTTACTCAGGATGATCTTTTCTATTTCCCACCATTTGCCTGTAAATTTCATGATTTCCTTGTTTTTATTGCTGAATAGTATTCCATTGTGTAAATATACCACAATTTTTGTATGCATTCCTCAGTTGAGGGACATCTGGGTTTTTTCCAGATTCTGGCTATTTCAAATAAAGCTGTTATGAACATAGTTGAGCAAATGTCCTTGTTTTATACTTGAGCATATTTTTGATATATGCCTAGGAGTGGTATAGCTGGATCTTGAGGAAGCACTATTCCTAATGGTTTGAGAAAGTGCCAGGTTGATTTCCAAAATGGTTGTTCAAGTTTACATTCCCATCAGTAATGCAGGAGGTTTCCCCTCTTTCCACAACCTCCCCAGCATGTGTTCTCACTTGAGGTTTTGATCTTAACCATTCTGATGGGTTTAAGATGAAATCTCAGGGTCAGTTTGATTGCATTTCCATGATGCCTGGGATGTTGAGGTTTTATTTAAGTGTTTCTCTACTTAAATAAATGAATTCCTTTATGGAGAATTCTCTGTTTAGTTCTGTACCCCATTTTTTAATTGCATTACTTATTTATTGCTATTTAACTTCTTGAGTTCTTTTTATATTCTGGATATTAGCCATTTGTCAGATTGGTGAAGGTTTGGTGAAGATCCTTTCCCAATCTGTAGGCAGTTGTTTTGTTTAGATGACGGGGTCCTTTGCATTACAGAAGCCTTTCAATTTCATGAGGACCCATTTATTGATTGTTGATCTTAGAGCTTGTGCTGTTGATGTTCTGTTCAGGAAGTTGTCTCCTGTGCCATTAAGTTCAAGGCTCTTCCCCACTTTTTCTTCTAACAGGTTTAATGTGCCTGGTTTTATGTTGAGGTCTTTTATCCACTTGGACTTTTTTTTGTTCAGGGTGATAAATATGCATCTATTTGCATTTTTCTACTACGGAGCAATAGTAAGAAAAACTGCATTGTACTGGCATAGAAACAGGCTGGTGGATCAATGGAATTGAATAGAAGACACAGAAATAAACTCTCACACCCATGGATACTTAATTTTGAGAATGAATCCAAAACCATACAATGGAAAAAAAGACAGCATCTTCAACAAATGGTGCTGGTCTAATTGTATGAATTTTGTTTCTTAATCATATCTGGAAATAGAACAATTCTAAATAGGTTGACCTTATGCCTGGGGACATGACTGTTGATTAGTAAGCACCTAACTATTCCACCAACATTCTGAAATATATTTTGTTTTAGTACTTGGTATTAGTTAACAATAAAACAAGGCATTATTTTAAAAAAATGCCAGGTAGTGGTGGTATAGCTTTTACTCCCAGCACTTGGAAGGGAGAGGCAGGAGGATCTTTTATTTGAGGCCAGCTTGGTCTGCAGAGTGTGTTGAGGACATCTGAGGCTACTTAAAGAAACCCTATCACATAATAATAAAATAAAACAAATAATGCCATTAAAAAATCTACTGTTTGGGTCTGCGGAGATTGATGCACCAGCCAAGGATCATGCATCAAGAGGACCCAGATCCCCTGCTCAAATGGCAGGGCAGGAGAATTCCCCCATTAAGTGTACTAGGAGAAGGGGATGGAAGGAAAGGGAAGGAGAGTGGGACTGGGAGGAGATGAGGGAAGGAGCTACAATCAGGATATAAAATGAATAAATTGTAAAAAATAAAAAATTATAAAGTCTACATATTTATTTTTTATGATAGATTCGTGAAATCAGAAATAAAGAGAAAAATCCCCTCATTTTATTGATTTAGTATTTTTTATTTAACGTTGTACATGCTCAAACTCAGGTCTTCATTCAAACTAGATGAGTGTTCTTCCTCTGAGTTATAGCATTGGCCCCAACACTCTCCATTTTCTTTCAACTGGCTTTATAGAAAGTACTGAAGGTTTAAAAACAATATTTTTTCCCTCCAGGTCTTTCTATTTCCCCCTTCTTAGATCTGGAGGGAACAGGAGCTCCACAAGGAGAGCAACAGAACCAAAAAACCTGGGCACAGGGGACTTTTCTGAGACTCCAAACAAGGACCATGCATGGAGATAACCTAGAACCCCTGCAGAGAAGTAGCTCATGTCAGCTCAGCATCCAAGAGGGTTCCCTAATAATAGGAACAGGGACTGTCTCTGACATGAACTCATGGGCTGGCTCTTGGATCACCTACACCTGAGGAGAGTACAGGCTTACCAGTCCACAGAGGAAGACAAGTCCTGATGAGACCTGATAGACTAGGGTCAGATGGAAGGAGAGGAGGACCTACCTACCCTATCATTAGGCTGGGGGGGAGCATAGGAGAAGAAGGAGGGAGGGTGGGATTGGGAGGGGATGGGGAGGGGGCTACAGCTGGGATACAAAGTGAATAAACTGTAATTAATAAAAAATAAACATTTTTTGTCTTTGGTATACAGGAGGGCTTCTGATTTTTTTGAGTTGATTTTGTATCCTGCCACTTTGCTGAAGGTGTTTATCAGCTGGAGGAGTTCTCTGGTTGAATTTTTTGGGTCGCTCATATATACTATCATATCATCTGCGAATAGTGACACTTTGACCTCTTCCTTTCTGATTTGTATCCCCTTGATCTTCTTTAGTTGTCTTATTGCTCTGGCTGGACTTCAAGTACTATGTTGAAGAGGTATGGAGAGAGTGGGCAGCCTTGTCTTGTCCCTGATTTCATATGACAGGAGTCTACTGAGCGCATTTGAAAGACTCTAACTAGCAGTGTTTTCAAAGCAAAGACTCATGACCAAACCTTTGGCAGAGTACAGGGAATCATAAGAAAGAAGGGGAGTTAGTCTGATGAGGAAAGGATAGGAGCTCCACAAGGACCAAATATATCTGGGCACAGGGTCTTTTCTGAGACTGACATGCAACCAAGGACCATGTATGAATGTAACCTAGAACCTCTGCTCAGATGTAGCCTGTGGTAGCTCAGTAACCAATTGGTTTCCCATAGTGAGGGGAACAAGGACTGTTTCTAACAGGAACTCAATGACTGGCTCTTTGGCCTCCCCGCCCCCCAAGGGTGGAGCAGTCCTGTTAGGCCATGGAGGAGAGCTTTGCAGCCAGTCCCGAAGATACCTGATAAAACAGGATCAGATGAATGGGGAGGAGGTCCCCCCTATTAGTGGACTTGGCAAGGGGCACGGTGGAGATGAGGGAGGGAGGGAGGGACTGGGAGGGAATGAGGGATCGGGACATGGCTGGGATACAGAGTTAATAAAATGTAACTGATAAGAAAAAAATAAAATTAAAAAAAACATTTTTTTTCCTTAAACTGTACATCATTTTTTGACAGGTGTTTCACAATTGCAGCTGCATTCGCTCATCTGGAAACTCATCTGCAGTCCTCGGGCTGTGTGACAAGGGCCGTGAGTGTGATAGCATGCTGCAGTACTTTTTAATCATGTCAGCAATTAACAGTTTAATCTTCTCACTTTCAGCTATACCTGGGTACATGGTTCTTCTGAGGTAATAAGTAGTTCCTTTATTTAGCTTTCTCTCGTTCTTCATACTGTATGCATATGTGAGTCTGTGTGTGTATGTTTGTGTGCTGCGAGTTCCTGTGTGCCACTAAGAACACAGTGAAGTCATAAGACGATGTTGGATATTCACCTCTCGTTTCATCTATTTGAGGCAGGGTCTCTCTTGTTATTCCTGCTGCTGTTCTGCCTGTGTACTCCAACCTACTTGGCCCTCAATATCCCAGTCAATGCTGTTTGCTACTCCAATCTCACTGTGGGAATTCTGGGATTATAAATGCATGCCACTCGATTGGACTTCTTTATTTTAATGTTTTACATTTGTTCCCAGGTTCTAGGTCATCAAAGTCATCAAGTATTTTTGGCTTTTTACCCATGGATCCACTCCAGTGTTGTTATTTAGATGTTGGTCATTTGTTAAAGTTTCTTTTGCCAAGAAAGGTCCTTGTTATTGTTTCTTAGAACCTCAGTGCTCTAAGATACCTTTATCAAGACTCCAATACTAAGCACTGCTAAACTCAACAATAATTTAAAATTTTCTTTCCTGACCTTTCCTACTTCTACCTCTTATATCTTAAACCAAAATGAATGGACATCATGTTATGACAGGTGGAGAGTAGTTGTGTAGCACTCATTGCCTATGACTCAGCCAACTGACTGGCAGAGTGGGAAACCCTGTGTAAAAGGGGCCAGGATCCCTTGACACCCTGAGCTCAAACTGTCTTCAAGCAAAGCCATGAATGCCATGACAGAAACTCTCTAATTGGGAAGTACATTAATGCACTAATATTTACTCTGGAGCAAGATGGGTTATGAATGCAATGATAGACGCATGGCTTTTTAAGATAAAATGAGGATGTGGCAGAGCCAAGTTTTGAAGTTTATTTTCTTAGCAAATGTTCTTTCCAGCCTACGAATTTCACACCTGCTAAAATGGGTGGGAAAAGAGTGTTACCTGTCTTTGATTGTCTCATTGTAAAGTTGAGTTAACCATGATTTGTGATTCAATTATACATAAAACAGACTGGAGCATGTTTCTCACTTCTCTCTTTCCCTGTACTTTTCCAACCTCCCCCCCTTGCCCACATTCCCTTTGCACCCCCTTCTCCTTCTCCTTTTCCAAATACCTTTCTCCTTTCCTTCTCTTTTTCTTTTCTCCTCTTCTCCCAACACACCTTTCTCTCCTCTCCTCTTCTTCTCCCCTCTCCTTCCCTTCCCTCCCTTCTCCTCCTCTCCTCTCCTTTCCTCTCCCCTCCCCTCCCTCCTCCCCTCCCTCCTTTTCTCTCCTCTCTTTTCCTCTCCTCCCCTCCCCTGCTCTCCCCTCTTGTCTGCTAACCCTTCCCTTTCCTCCTCTTTGTTCTTTTTCACCCTGCTTCTACCCCTCATACAAACTCACTGGAATATATGTCCCCATTTATTCATCTTCTATTGTAATTATATTTTTCTATTCAGCAAATAGAGATGTGGTTTATTCCCTTCTTCAGTTCATAGATTCATGGACAACTAAAGGACAACATCAAGTACTGCTAGTTCATAATTCCTTTTCTTGCAAATGAGGAATTCTTGGCTGTGGCATCTGTCATCCTTCACTTTCTAGGCAGATTCAGCTGATGTGGCTACGTGGTGTCTTTCTCGCTCACTACTACAGATGCCTCAGTTCCAAAGCTGCAGGCTCAGTTGACAAGGATGACTTTTCCTCATAGAGGAGGATGGTCATAGCTGAAAGGCATATGTGCACCTGCATGCTCCTGTTAGAACCTCCAAACATGCTCTGTAGAGACACTCTCACGTTTACTGCATACCTACTCTCACTGCCATTCCCCACTCACCTTCTCAGTTACCTTACTTTCTGAAGTTGACTCTTCAACTGGGTGTAAAAAATGTGGCTAAATAAAGTTTTAATGTTTTATTATTCAAAATGTTTTGTATGAACAGGCACATGTGTGGCTGCATGGATCTCTCTCTCCTCTCCTCTCTCTTTCTATGTGTGTGCGTGTGTGTGTGTGTGTGTGTGTGTGTGTGTGTGTGTGTTAGCATGCCATGGCATTAATATTGAAGTTACAAGACATCGCACAAGAGTTGGTTCATTTTGCCCCATGTGGGTTCCAAGCATTGTCAAGCATGGTGGCAAGCAACTTTACCTACTGAGCCATCTCGTAGGCCCTAATGTGTAATTTATTGATGTAATGAGGTTAAAGTCTACTCAGATAACTTTTCTTATTTCTTTGCTCTTTCTTGTTGAATTTGATGATTGCAGTGAAAATGATGGATAATATACTACTTTTGTTTGCATACTATTACTATTCTTCTAGTCTGTTGTGTTTTCTTGAGCTCTTTCATGGAATCACTTCAGAAATGAAATCCTAACAGTTGCATATATTATGATTTTCTTACCCAAAGGTGTATTTGGTTGGAAAAAGCACATTTTAAATGGGTGTCCATTTTCCTAATTTATAAGAATATTTTTCTGTTTTTATCCTTATGGCTTTATTAAATTGTAATTTTTATATTAATTTTATTTTATTCACTTTGTAACCCAGCTGTAGCATCCTCCATCATTACCTCCCAATCCCACCCTCCTTTCGTCTTCTCTGCCCATATCCCTCTCCATGTGCACTGATAGTGGAGGTCCTCCTCCCCTTCCATCTGAACCTAGTTTATCAGGTCTTATCAGGACTGGCTGCATTGTCTTCCTTAGTGACCTGGTTAGGCTGCTTCCTCCTCAGGGGGAGCTGATCAAAGAGCCAGCCACTTATTTCATGTCAGAGACAGTCTCTGTTCCCCTTACGATGGAACCCATTTGGATATTGAGCTGCCATGAGCTACAGTTGTACAGGGGTTCTAGGTTATCTCCATGCATGGTCCATGGTTGTATTATCAGTCTCAGAAAAGACCCCTGGGCCCAGATTTCTTGGTTCTATTGTTCTCCTTGGTTCTATGTGGAGCTCCTGTCCCCTCCACATCTTTCTATCTCCCCCTGCTTTCATAAGATTCCCTGCACTCTGCACAAAGTTTGGCTATGAGTCTCAGCATCTGCTTTGATACCCTATTGGGTATCATCTTTCAGAGGCCTTCTGTGATAGGCTCCTGTCCTGTTCCCTGTGTTATCTCTCTTCCTATGTCTTTGCCTTTCTGAATGAGGATTGATACTCTTATCCAGCATCCTTCTTCTTGCTTAGATTCAATTGGTAAACAGATTTTAGTATATTTATCCTATATTATAGATCTAGTATCCACGTGTGAGTTTATACCATGTGTGTCTTTCTGCTTCTGGAATACCTTACTCAGTGTGATCTTTTCTAGATCCCACCATTTGCCCACAAATTTCATAATTTCTTTGTTTTATTCCATTTTGTAAATGTACCACAATTTCTGTATCCATTACTCAGTTGAAGAGCATCTGGATTGTTTCCAGGTTCTGGCTATTATAAATAAAGCTGCTAGAAACATGGTTGAACAAATGTCCTTGTTGTGTACTTGAGCATATTTTGGATATATGGCTAGGAGTGGTATCACTGGATCTTGAGGAAGCCCTATTCCTAATTGTCTGAGAAAGCGCCAGATTGATTTCCAGAGTAGTTGTACAAGTTTACATTCCCACCAGCAATGGAGGAGTGTTCTCAGTGTCAATGTTCTCCACAGCAGGTATTGTGACTTGAGTTTTCCATCTTCGCCATTCTGATGGGTTTAAGGTGAAATCTCAGGGTAATTTTGATTTGCATTTCCATGATGACTAAGGACATTGAACATTTCTTTAAGTGTTTCTCTGCCATTCTATATTCCTCTGCAGTGAATTATCTGTTAACTCTGTACCCCATTTTATAATTGGATTATTGTCTTTTTGCTTTTTAATTTCTTGAGTTCTTTCTATATTCTGGATATTAGCCCTCTGTCAGATATAGGTTGGTGAAGATCCATTCCCAGTCTGTAGCCTGTCGTTTTATTCTGGCAACAGTGTCCTTTGCTTTACAAAAGCTTTTCAGTTTCATGAGGTCCTATTTATTGACTGTTGACCTTAGAGCCTGTGCTGCTGGTGTTGTGTTCAGGAAGTTGTCTCCTGTGCCAATGAGTTCAAGGCTCTTCCTTACATTTTTCTTCTAACATATTTAGTGTGTCTAGTTTTATGTTGAGGTCTTTGATCCACTTGGACTTTAGTTTAGTACAGGGTGATAAGTATGGATCTATTTTCATTTTGTCTGCATGTAGACATCCATTTAGACCAGCTCAATTTGTTAAAGATGCTGTCTTTTACCCATTGTATGGTTTTGGCATCTTTGTCAAAAGCAGGTGTCCATAAGTGTGTGGGTTTATTTATGGGTCTTTTATTTGATTCCATTGATCCATCATCCTGTTTCTATGCCAGTACTATGCAGTTTTTATTACTGTTGCTGTGTAGTACAGCTTGAGATCAGGGATGGAGATGCTTCCAGATGATCTGTTGTTGTACAGGATTGTTTTGGCAATTCTGGATTTTTATTTTTCCATATGAAGTTGAGAATCTTTCTTTCAAGGTCTGTAAAGAATTGCGTTGGTAATTTCATGGGAATTGCATTGAATCTGTAGATTGCTTTTGGCAGGATGGCCATTTTCACTATGTTAATCTTACTGATCCCTGAGGTTGGGAGATCTTTCCATCTTCTGATATCTTCTTCAATTTCTTTCTTCAGAGACTGGAAGTTTTTTTCAAACAGTTCTTTCACTTGTTTGGTTAGACTGGCTATTGTGAAGTGTGTTGTTTCCCTAATTTTTTCTCAGTTCTTTTGTCTTTCATATACAAGGAGGCTACTGATTTTTTGTATACAGCCACATTGTTGAAGGTGTTTATCAGCCGAAGGAGTTCTCTGGTTGAATTTTAGGGATCACTCATGTATATTATTATATCATCTGCAAATAGTGATACTTTGACTTCTTGCATTCTGATTTGTATCACCTTGATCTCCTTTAGTTGTATTTTTGTTCTTGTTAGGACTTCAAGTACTATTTTAATGA